GTAGTCAGAATGTTTAGCAATTTACAATTTTCAGACATATTTAAGATATTTTATAATTTGGTGCTTTGAAATTAATAGTTTTATTAAATTATTTTGGATTTATTTGTCTCGTTTGAAATAAGTAGCGACAAGCCACTTACCTATCTAAATTTCACTAACAATAAATTAATTTTCTTTCCTAATAAATAAGCAAATATCTTTGGTAGAAATTGCACTACTTTTTTTTTAATGTATCACAAATTCTTCACGACCATAATTTCATTTAAGTACACAGTAAATATAAACTTTCTTGAATTTAGTGTACATAAAGTCTAAGGAACAATAAGTTTCTCAAAACACGGTTTTTCGGCGATCATCAATTGCAATGGTACATGGCACAGGTACAATAAATATTGTGAGATATAAAACAAAAGCAAGTCAATGAATAAAAAAGAATTTAATTTTGTCCGTTTGTCAAACTACAGTTTGTTTGTGTTATGCACAGGTTCTATTACGCTAGTCACAAGTATGTCAAGGGGACTGCTTCTCAAAAATTATTAAAAATACCTACATAATCTCAATAACCAAAAGAAATGACATTCACTAATTTCAGATGATCTTCTTTCCTGTTCTCTTTTAAAACTATATATCACTTTTCGGTTATCAATGGAGTCGTCGATTAAAAGTGTTTTTAATAAAAAATTTAAAAATTATGTATATGCGCAGGGTCGAGTCGCCTTCAATAAAAAGAAATCATTCTCGCGAACGGTTAATTTAGAAATTCGAAAAAGGTTGTTAAAGGTGTATGTTTGGAGCGCGGTTGTACGGGTGCGAAACATGGACAGTGGGCGCAGCGGAAAAGAAAAAGTTAGAAGCGTTCGAAATGTGGTTACAGGCGAATGATGAGGATACCGTGGATAGAGAAGGTTATAAATGAAGAGGTATTAGAAAGAATAGAAGAACAGAGGACTCTATGGAAGTCAATAAGAAATAGGCGAGATAGGTTGATAGGACACCTTCTCAGGCATGAAGGTCTAGTCAGAGGCATATTATAGGCAGAAACGGAAGTTAGGAGGGGTAAAGGTAGACCTAGATTGGATTACTGTTCACAAATAGTTTTAGGGAAATGCGAAAATTACGTCAGGATAGGAAAGGGCTATCTTTAACCTATTAGAGGCCCTGGGCACATAAGCCTACCGGGGCCCCTACAGCTTTGACAAAGAATTATTTGGCTTGTTATTTGTTTCTTTACATTCATATAAATGAATAGATAATTGTAATATGACTCGAAAAAGTAACTCTAATATCATTCTTAAGTTGGTACTTAAAATTGTGTTTTTTGAAAACGTACTCTTCTAGTTTTCAGATATGCAAAATCGTTAACCAGTTGTTCAAACTCTTTGTCTTTGAGCATATCCCATTCTATGGACTGATCAATCTTTCTTGAAGCATTGTTCGTCTTAACTTATTTTTTATTCTTTTCCGTTTAAAGAAGGAGCGTTCGCTACTTTAGTTTACCATAATATTTAAAAAGATTCTCAATGCAATTTCTACATTTGGAAATGTGTCTCCAACTCGGTTTTTATCAAAACTTCTGGAATGCTATTAGTTTGCCAAATACAGACATTCTATTTCTAACTCTTTCTCGTTAACATCTTCATAGCAGCAAATTCTTCGAAACTTTATCTCGGGATTTAGAGTTTTCAAGCGAAAAACAATGTCAACAATAACCAATGTCCTTGTACAAACTCAACCGCTGTTTTAGATGTACCCTTGGGATATCACTTATGGGAAGTAAGTATTTCTACTTTAATATCTCTTCCCAACTCAGTTGGACTATCGGTGCAGTCATCAAAAAATGTCTGGCGCGAACTTCTACGTCTTATTCTTTGAGACAAGTCCTTGTAGTCAGATTCTGTATTTTTCTCTTTGGAGAGCGATTCGAAGTAATAAAATTTCAGAATATATAAATGTTTGAAGAATCAATCACATTTAGGTATGCTCGCGTTTATAGCATGCAGAAGCGATTATGCAAGTAAATGTTCTAATAGCAACTATTGATTAATTTTCTTAAAATAATTATCGGCTTTTGGTTGGCGGATGGATCTGGCAGAAACTATATAGGAGGCCTCCGTTGATCGTGGGGCCCTGGGCACTTGCCCAGAGTGCCCAATGGAAAAGAGGGGCCTGGATAGGAAAGAGTGGAGGTGCGTGTCTAACCAGTCTTAGGACTGACGACCTTATGATGATGATATATATAAAAAAAGTAGTTGCAAAATTAAATTCATGTGGGGGTCAAGAACGTAAGGAAGGTCATACTAAAATCAGAAAATTACGCTAGGTTAAGTTAGGTCAGGTTTGGAATGTTGGGGTAGTTAAACAATTGAATTCGTGTGAGAGATTGGAAATACCCTATGGAAGGTCCTGCTGAAATTAAAAAGTGAGGTTAGATTAAATCAAATTAAATTTATTTTTCATATGCAATTGATGATCGCCCTATTATCTAATCACAAAAGAATCATACAAATGTTCGAAGAGAAGATAACATGTAAAAACAGGAGAGTATTTACATATGTTCACCGTTTTGTAATTTTAAAGCACGTTCGTAACTTGGAGGAGGTTCGCAGTCGTCGACAGGCACAACGACCGCCTGCGAACAAGACCATCTTCGCGATTTCCTCCTGTTTTGAGTTTCATTTTCGTGTTCTAATTCGGTTTCCGTGTCTACTACGCTGTCGTACGGTGGCGCTGAATCGACGATCGAATCGTAAGGAGGAGGAGGTCCTGATGGAGGTTGACCCGGAGTAGACGGAGTGCTATCTTCCACCTGATATTCAGCTACTTCTATCAACTGCAAAATTACATAACTTGTTTAATTTGTATGTAATGAAATTTAGTATTGAATTTGAAAATCCCTGTCCCTGCAGGTGTCAAAGCCCAAAGGTCATACGTTCTACATAGAGATGTGCAAAATAGTTTTTTAAAAGTATTTAAATACGAAATACAAATAAATTTTTGATTTGTAATTTGAACTGTAAAATACAAAATAGATTTCGTTTTTGCATTTTAAGTGCTAAATGCAAAATACGTATTTTCAAAATACTTTTGCAGGCATTTGCTCATTTTTTAAATATTGGAGTTTTTCTAGACCAATAGTGGTGTTTGCACTATATCACCAGCTGCGAAGATTCAGTATGATTCATATTTTCCTGTTTGAAGTGATTGAGATATGGTTTTTCTATCTTTATGTTATTGTTTCTTCAGTTCAGCCATCAAATAATTCTTCCTTATTTACCTTTGTCACAAAAAATACACTGTTGCCAAAATAGTTTGTTTACCGTGAAAGACCAAATCCAAAATAAGGTTGCAAATAATTTTATTGATGTAAAATCACCATCAATCATTTTATATCAAAATATTTACAACGGCATTTTGTTTCCGATATTTTACATATATAAGAGAAAAAAATGGAATCCATAGTTTCTCTAACTTTGGGTTCATCTGATAAGTGAAGTTTTTCGAATCGTCTTCTAAGAATTTTAGGCATAATTAGCACACCGCAATATCTTGTAGTTTTCAGTTTCCCCTTTTTAAGCTTCTAATAGCTTCAATAGCCAATGTGAGCAACTTTCTTTCATTATTTTATACAGTTTGATCGGTGATACTAGCAAAACTTTTAATAGCAAAAATGTATTTTGCATTTTACAAGTAGAAAAGACGTTTGGAAAAGTATTTTAAATAAAATACAAAATGCTTTTTTCAAAAAAGTACTTAAATGCAAGATAAAAATAGGTATTTTTTATTTTGTATTTACATTTTAAATGCAACTATTTCAAATAAATCACATCTCTGGTCCTACAAACACTTTGAGTAGGATACATTTTGAATGTCATTGTGAATGTGTTTTGGTATAAAAACTACGCCTTAAGGTGTTGGCATTAAAAATTATTAACAAATTAATTGGTTAATTAATGTTTAGTTAATAAAAATTCAAACAAACAATTTTAACGTTTCGCCAGCACGTGTGGCGAACTTCTTCAGAGGTCCTTCCATCTACGATCCATCACAAAATAAAAAAAAAAAGATAATTACTAACTTTTTCAAATTTTTATTATTTATAGTCATACGAGGAAAAATATCTGAAAACCCGCCGTTTGAATGAAATAATTGCTCCTAAACATGTTGTTTACAAAAAATTAAAGCTCTTCACGTTAGACAAATAAGATAATAACATTTCTTTTATCTTCAACGGCAGGAAATATTTTTACGGTAGAATATTAAAAAATAGCCTATTTTTAGGAAGTTGATTGTTTATATCAAGATAAACCAAAATTGGACTTTCCACAAAGAAATTTCATAAGAATCATTTAATGGGTTTTCAAACAGAACATAAACATCCGATTTTACATTTTTCGTACTTGCAATAATTACTTGCTTGCAAATACCCGATACCTTGGCGTAAATAAAATCCAGTGATATTTCCTAGGCGGTTCGTGCAAATCGAAAGATAAAATTTTGCGACTCGATGCCGGCTAACGGCCCAGTGTACATTTATATAAATATACATGACGATATTTACGATTCCTCCTTGGATGTATCTTAGCCAAAGCGAGACATTTACACAGAAAGAAGTGGACTCTCAATCAGCAACGTTACAACTACAAAGTTTGCTTCAAACATTTCCGAAAACTTTCGTGGGGCCCTGGGCACTTGCCCAGAGTGCCCAATGGAAAAGAGGGGCCTGGATAGGAAAGAGTGGAGGTGCGTGTCTAACCAGTCTTAGGACTGACGACCTTATGATGATGATATATATAAAAAAAGTAGTTGCAAAATTAAATTCATGTGGGGGTCANTCTTAGCCAAAGCGAGACATTTACACAGAAAGAAGTGGACTCTCAATCAGCAACGTTACAACTACAAAGTTTGCTTCAAACATTTCCGAAAACTTCATTCTCCTCTCTGCTATGGGTAAATAAAATTGTAAGAAAACACCACTGATTGAATTCCCTCGAAGAATTTGTTCAAAAATTTGTATAAAGAGCTTTTCGAGATCGCTTAACCTTCTCGTTGAAAATCCGTTAACCAATAATTAAAATTTTGTTGGTTTAGTATTTAAACTACTTTTTGTGGTTTGGAACGATATGTTGGTGAAGGTGGTAAAGTGTAAAGCCCGCCAGAACGAAGACATGAACCATTAACCGTAGTGATTTTGCCGGGTAGCGGATAACCGGATGCGGAAGGTCCGCATCCAGCATCGGGATATAGATCCAAATCAGAACAGGATCAGTTAATCTACTGACCTTTACCAATTTGTTGCTATTTTCTTTAAAGATGCACAACCGTAAAACTGTACGATTTTAAAAATTGTTATTGCTTAGAGTAATTTGTTAAGGTTTACCTGAGCGCCGTCGATGGTGAAAATATCCGATGTTAATATTGCTGGTTCTCTCCAATATGTATTGATGTGATTTTCACGTTTCTGTTGACTTCGATGACAACAGTAGCAAATGACGAACAGCATTATTATAATTCCACTTATCATTGCCCTAAGCAGATAAATCAAAATTTTAATTCAGAAACAGCCAACAAAATGTTCAAAAAGAGTTTATTTCAATTGAAAAATAAACAATGTTTCGTTTGCAAATATGCTATCGAGTTGGTTTTGAAACTATCCAAAATGTAATTAAAGTTCAATCCACCAGATAAGTACACAAAATACTTTGGACAGTAGTTTATAATCCACCTACAATAAAACCAGTACGATATTATACTAACAGATAGAACACAACACTAGCACAATTAGTAATGATAAAAATTGGACTTGGTCTTGGTCTTTCGTTAGACCAAGACTGTCCTTATACTAGTAAGACCAAGAACAAGACCGAACTAAAAAGACTAAGGCTAAAACTAGGACCGAACGAACAAGACCAAGTCTAAAACCAAGACCGTTTATGCAAGACCAAGACTAAAACCAAGACCGAATATGCAAGACCAAGGCCAAATACGCAAGACCAAACGAAAAATTATTACTAGATTTATTAGTTTTAAACTGCTTAAAGCAACTTTAATAAAGATATTTTGAATTTTTGTAACATTAATTCAATGTAATAGTGAATTAATTTTACCCACTACAGATAATCTCAACCTTTCAACCTTAGGTATGTATCGTAGGTGTTCCTGCTTTGACCTCCTTGTAGCTTAGTGGTAGAATACTGGTACGTAAAACTATTCCACTGTTTCAAAAAAGGGACCTATAAGAATGTCCTCGGAGTAAGTGTTCTTTATTCCTGTCTGGATAACACATGGTTGAAATACAAAATTATTTTTTTTTTTCGATATTTTTCACTTATTTCAAGCACTTTGTACTATTTTGTTCTCTAAAAGGTCAATTTATTTGTTGGAGGAAGGGTAACTTCTTGAATCTTCATAACTCTCACAACTATCATCATTATCTTCTTTAAAAGTCATGATAAGCTCGCAGATTTGACAGAAAATGTCAGCATTTAAGACAATTATTGTGGAAGGTAAATAAAAAAATTTGTGCTTAGAATTACTTAAAAAAAAATGTAAGTACCAGGTTAAATAGACAAGACCAAGATTTGACACGCAAGACCAAGATTATATCAGCAATACCTAGACATACTTATATCAAAATTGGGACAGTTATGGTCTTGGTGTTGCTTTGCTCACCACCAAGCATAATTTAGCGTAATTGTTTTTTTTTTATTTTTTCAATAATGGCAGGGATGAGTTATTGGACATACCACCAAAGAATACTAACCGTTTGGATTTAAATACTATCCATACATAATATCTAATATCTAAATACCGGTCAAGTCAAGATGGATTAAAATATACTTACCACTAAACTGCACGCCAATTGCAATTACAAGATAGAATCAAAATTATTTTTACTAATTTATTATAGGTAATAGAAAGGTCTTCTACGTAGAATTTCTTTTATATATTTGATTTATTTTGATAAAGTTTTCTAATAATGAAATACTTTGCATTTCATTTTTCTAAAAAACTGCATAATAACCAAGGATGTATAAGCATACATAGGAGTTAGTTTATTTAATTTACCTACTGACTAATGAATTACCCATTTAATACTAACGACCCACGTACTGTGGATAGTTTTTATGAAGTAGTAATTTGGTGTACTGTTTTCGTGGTGGAATGACGATTTTGTATCGATAATGAATATTCGATAACGTTTTTGACGCCCACATATACAGAGTATATTTTTATCAAATCCCTGATGTGTAGGTATGATATTTTCGAATAGGAAATTATACGCATAAACATGTTTCTAAGGTAATTAAGTTGTTGTTGATAATAGATGGACTACGCAGTCATTAAAATCACATAATATAGGTACGTAAAAACAAGTGAATTAAGTATTAATTGTTTTCTCAATAATAAAACGTATTTTTAGAATCTCAATCAGAAAAAAGTCACTGATATATATGTCTTATAAATATATATGTATATCTATCGTGTGTAACGAATTTTTCTTTACCCTCCTAGTACAACGTTGACGCCATGTTGTGGAACAATCGAATTTTCCGACTGAAATTTATAAGAAAGGTCAGACTGACTTCTCGGTGCAGAGTAAGAAAAATAAGTGTCCATTGACATCACTTCAGCATCTCACTTCGTCACACATTCCCACTCACCGAAACTAGCCATTTTCTTATTGCACACGAAAATTCCAATGTCAAAGTTCACACATTCACTTCTGTACAGCACGCAATGAACACATACTTGTGTAACTAGCTAAAAAGAAATTGGGAATCAAGTGCGAAAATGAATATATTTAAAAGAAATTCGCACTTCACGCTTCATTAGGAGGTCAGATAATGTAATGAAACATTGTGTTGACTGAATGGCTTTTACAGAAATAATCGATATCTGCTTGGGTACCTGCCGTAGTTACAAGAAATTACTTGACGACAAACGTTTTACGTAAATACGATGTCCTACTGAACCATTTTTTAAAATGATTTCAATATTATAGGTAACTTCTATTAGATATTAATTTTTTTGTAGTAAACGATTGAGCTAATCACATATCTACAGTGTGAACCAATAGCTGATATTACGTCTTTTACAAATAAAGTGGATAATCCATTAATAGTTAATTAATTTTTGAACCGAATCAAAAAAAATTGGAAGGACGTGTTACTATAAAACGGTTTTGAATTGTACGCCACTTGTCAATCGTCATTGAAATGCTTACAGTGACTTATATTTATAATTACCATTAAAAATTACCATTAATGAGTTACCAACAAAAAATAATAATTTCTTAACATTATTGATAATAAGGATCTAACTAATTAAGATATTTATTTAGCAAATTATAAAACGCTGTCGTGCTGTAGAATTTTGTACTTATGCAAATGTGATATATTTGTTGAAATTAATATTGAATAAATTGTTAAAATACTATTTTAGATGAGACACAAACATTTTGTCACTTGTCTAAATTTATAAGGTTCGCCATCAATTATTTCAATTTCAATTTCAGATCGAAAATGTCAAACTGACATAGTCCGTACGATCCACACGAACAATATCTAACGCGTGGTTTGTTATCTGACATGAATCTACATACTTTTTTCGGTTTCAATTAAGGTTTTAAAACGAACTTATAAAATAAATTAATACAGCAAAATGTGAATATTATACTTCATTACTTTCTCTAGCGATGTGCCCCTTCCAATGACTTGGATGCGCGCCGGCAAAATCGTAGGTAGGGAGAAAAAGCTCATTATACTCTCGACTTTTGTTCATTAAACATACTTTTTCATACAGTACCTGTCAATAGTTTTTTTCAATCATGATAGTAGTGCGAGTCGAAAACAAGCGTTAAAGCCTTTAACATGTTTTCAAATATAAATAAACATCTCGTTGATATTTTCAGTAGTAATTGGTACCAATAACAGCACATTTGAGCATTGCAATTGTAGTGGATAAAATGGTAAATTTTTCCGTGCAGTACTGTACAAATTATACGCTCCTCACCGGTTAAGAGTTTGACCGAGAGTTGTCTCCTTTTTTTCTGGCCTAGTGCTGTTCTTTTTTACTTTGCGCCAGTCAAACTAAAGGTCACATCGCTAGAGAAACTAAACGAAGTATACAATAGAAAGAGACCGGTGAGGATATATTACGAAAAGCAGTAAGAAAATGACAGTAAATTTAATACTTTTGTTAGATTAGATTAGCAAGTTTGTTAAAAAAAATAGCTGTTTAATTCTTAAATGTTAAATCGTTAAGACTGTTTCAATGCAGATTTATCAAATTATAACATTGAATACTAAATTTAGGTTTTACTGCGTTATCGAATTGATAAGAAGTAATATTTTTGTTGTAATGTAGTATTCAAAGTGCAGACTACATTCTCCGTATGGTATAAATGTTTAACATCATTATATCATTCCTGAATGTATTTTGGCTACAGTAACACGTTTTTGGTACAAAATATTTAAAATATTAGTACTTTATAAACTTAATTATTTTCATGGTCAAACTTAATAAGCTTGGTATTTAACCATAATAATTGGCATATAAAATTTTTTGAAACGATTCAAAAATATATGTTTATTAATTTTTTTAATAATATTGTTATCTGTCTTTCTCACACGATTATGTGGCAAGGCGAGCAGTGACGTCACTATTAAGTGAAACTGATGTTTTTGTCCTAGATCATCGTTATTTTATAATAATTTTTGAAGGATCTAAGTTTTGCAAACTTCCTTTTATTTAAAGTAATTTATGGAATTGATATAAATAGATAAATAAAATACAGGTTTGAAGTACCTACTCTGCCTACGTTTCTATGTAATTGGTAAGTTTATCGAAAAAAGCTTATGTTTGGAGCATGGCTCTGTATAAATGTGAAACGTGGATGATAGGCGTTGCGAAAAAGAAAAAATTAGAAGTGTTTCAGATGTGGTGTTTTAGAATGGTATGGGTATACCATGAATAGAAAAGATTAGAGAATGGAATAAAAAACAGAGAGCGTTATGGAAATCAATAAGAAATAGGTGAATTAGGTTGGCAGGACATCTCAAACATGAAGAGCTAGTTTATTAGACATATTCGAAGTAGAAACAAAATTCATGTAGAAAATACCGGAGTTGACGACAATTCTAAATCGTTATCCAGTAGTGGGAAACCAAACATCCAAACATTGGCTTGTAGATATTAGACCAATGTTTGGCCAATGTTCAAATGTCAATTTTCGGAAGATTAATTTCTCGCCAACTTTGGTCCAGTACTAACCAACCAAGTATGTATAGGTTCATTAATACTGGACCAATGTTCAGTCAATCTTCTACTACCAATTTTCGGTACATTAATGTCTCGGCAACTTTGGTACAGTACTAACTAACCCAGTACAAGTTTATCAATACTGGACCAATGTTCGACCAATCTTCAACTGCCAATTTTCGGTATATTAATGTTTCGCCAACTTTGGTCCAATAATAACCAACTAAGTATAGTTTTTTCAATACTGGACCAATGTTCGGCAAATCTTTAAGTGTCAATATTCGATACATTAATATTTTGTTGACTTTGGTCCAGTACTAACCAACCAAGTACAAGTTTATCAATACTGGACCAATGTTCGACCAATCTTCAACTGCCAATTTTCGGTATATTAATGTTTCGCCAACTTTGGTCCAATATTAACCAACTAAGTATAGTTTTTTCAATACTGGACCAAGGTTTGGCAAATCTTGAAGTGTCAATATTCGATACATTAATATTTTGCCAAGGTACGTCTAATATTGGTCAACAAAGTATTGGTTAATCAATACAATACCAAGTTCCAAAAAGCCAGATTATACATAGTACATATAATATAGATATAATTTTATAAAATGTAGTTATTGTGTTTATTATTTACATCAAAAATGCAAAATTATTAGAAATTTTTAGTAAAATAATTGTTGATAAAAGGAAAAAAAGGTTTTGAAGAAGAAAATAAAAGTGAAGTGTTTCATTACTCAACTTCATCAATAGGTGTTGATGTCATAAAAGTCAATAATAATTAACACAGTACGTTTCATACATTAAAAACAAGTGTAATAAATGTTGTTCATTCGTATTGGGCTTGGTCCGAAGTGAAAAATCCAGGCATTTGTCATGCTTGGTCCAAAATTGGAGAATCTTGGGCTAATCTTCTACCAAGCTTGGTCTTGTCGTGACTTCCTACATGGGAAGTATAAGAGGGGTAAAGACAGAACCAGATTATATTAAATTACAGCTCGCAAATAGAGATGTAGGTTGCTATAGTTTTCGGAAAAAATGCAAGAAATCTTCGGCCTGATATCCTTATGATGATGATGCAGTAACAGTTAATTTTGTTATATGTGCTTTAATGTAACTTTATTCTTACCAGTTAAACGTTAAATCATACAAAAGTGTTCTATTGTTGTGACCAAGTCGTTGATAACACCTTTTCTTTTGTTACAGGATCGCTACATAAAAAGGACAATGAAGCAAATGGGGAAGAAGAAGCTATTGCTTGCCTTGTTGCTATTCAGCGGAGGCTTTATTTTGTACTTTGTTTGGATTCAAAATACCTTCGAATTTCCGACAATTGTCCATTCACTAAGAACTGCTTATCAAACAAATATGTACGTATTGCATACTTATATATTCAATGTACATACATCTATTTAATTTGTACTAGTAGGTTACGTATGCAATTGCAATTATAATTTTTTATCTGATCCTAAAATCGCATATAACGTGTAAATAATATCGGGGTAAAACTCCGATGACAATAACAATTTTTGTAAAGTAAAATCTGTGAGTAAACCATGACGTACGTTCGAACTGGCAAAGTTAACAAAAGCTGTGATTTCTGTACTTACTGCTGGTGAGTGAAGTTGAAAAAATCATGCTTCACGTTCAGTTAAAAGTAACAACGTTTTAGAAGGAAACTTTTTGTGTGATGTTTTTAGTGTCAGTAAGAAAGCATTAGGACTTATTAAAGTGAAGAAATAAAATTAGTCGAAACTGAATTACTTGTAAAACAAAGTGTTAGAATTTAATTTGTAAATACCAATCTTTGCATTTCCAGAAAACTAGAGCAATCTATATTGTAGCGAGTACGAGCGTGTTTCTGTGCGATCGGGCACAGGTGTGCGTGAACGGCTTATCGATTTGCCGACTAGCCGCGAGCGCCTTTCTTCATGTGCGCCGTATTTGTAAATGTGTGTGTCGTACCTGCATTCTGGGAAAGCAGTTAAACAGTTCAAAGAAAAACTGAACGATCCGGATGTTTCTAGAGGGTTCCAGAAAGGAAACAAAAGAATATTTAAAAGAAGAGACGATCGCCGAGAAGAATAGAAATAAATTGACCGTTGCAAAAGTGAATCCAGAAATAAATTGTCAGTGATACAAGTGAAATAAATAGCGCAGTGAATAGTGATATATCAGTAGTGTAAATAAATAGAATAATTGATAACTAACTAACCTAAGTTTAATAATAATTTAATAGTGTTTTTAAGTTCTTTAATAATTANTAATTAGTGTAAATAAATAGTTTTTGTCGTTATCAGTCTTAGAAGTCAAAAACGTTAAATCCATGAACATTATAATATCTTTAACTATTTGAGAACAGTAATGTACTCTAATCGTAATTCCACATCTACCCCTCATAACTCCGTTTTTACTTATAATCTGTCTCTAGATAGCTCTCCATATCTCAGAAGATGTCCTACCTACCAATCTCGCCTATTTCTAAATGGTTTTTATGTCGCTCTTTGTTCTACTGTTTCTTCTCATTACTAATGTTTTATTTTCCAGAGCCGTACTCTAAACATACATAAACATACTTCTGTAGTATTTAATTCGAGATTTTGCATATTCTTTATTTATTTTATAAATAATTTCTTTTATAATTATTTACTTCAATATATTTTTTGTTTCCACACTGACACTTTAAGTACCCGTGCATATTTTTTAACTATTAGTATTAGATTTGAGATCTGTTGTTACAAACTGAATTGATGAAAATATCGTGTATGGAAAAGATTGGGAATGAGTTAGGGTGGTATTAGAAAGAGTACATCAAACGATAGTATGAAAGTTGACGAGTAAAATGATGGAGGATGATGGGGCGCCTTTTGAGACCTGAAGTGATAGTTAAAGATATATTAGAAGCATGAACAGGAGTAAAGACCGGAGAGGTAGACCAAGATTAGATTACTGTCCACAAAGAGTTAGAGATATGAAATGTTATAATTTAATGGAAATGCTAAGATTGGTTCAGGATAGTAGAGGTGCCTGTTTAATCAGTCTTTGGATTGATGGAATTAATATGATGATGAAACATCACTTAAGGTCTACAGAACGAATTTAAATATTATGTGTTTTAATAAAATTTGAGATACATCTACAGTAATGTACATCTTGGTTCTAGAAATCTAAATTAAGCATTCAAGAAAATAAACTAAAAGCAAATAATAAAATCAGTGTCGAACTGCCCAGTAAGTAGAATTACAACTCAACTTAAAGACTCCGTGAGAAATGATCGAGATGATAAAAGATTAAATATTAAAAACAGAATTACAATTACACTTTCATAAATTATACAAAAAGTTCATGTTGGTCAGTATTCAGCAGACAGCGTTTTATTAATTACTACAAACAGCATGGTAAATGCCATCTGTAGTATATAGCTACCTTTAGTAGAATTCAAAAACATCCATGGAACTTGTTGAGCATTTTTGAATAACTAAGGGTAGCAATATATAAGTAGTTGGGATTATCAAAATTGGCAAATTTCGCAGTAAATTATCTGTGAGAATGAACGTATCTTCTTTCTTGTTTCCACTTGGCGTTTTGCACACGCCCTTGTTAAGTTAGAAAATGCTTCATGAGGAGTAGAGACAATATGAAAAGGGATGACTGAATAATAGTAAGCGGTACAGCTTGATGCTGCTAACCACATGATACTTATGTACTTAAAGCAAAAACGCTTGCGTTGATTTTAACATTTAAGTACCTTCATCATCAGCGTAATCTAGATTTGTTTAGAATTTTCTCTCTTTAAGTACGGATAGTATAAAAGAGAGCTGAAGTCCCATTGACAATATCGGTCAAGATTATGACTAAAAACAGTTATGAATCTACCGGGCATGTACCTCTTGATTTTTGAAAGGATCACTAAGGAAATGTTCCCATTCACTCGTTTTCCGCCTTTCTAAGTTTCCAGTAATTGGATCAATACACATCGGGCAAAGTCAGTTGCCACGCCTTATTTCGACGAAACGGAGTGTAAGGCCGCTTTCACACAGTGCGATATCGTCACGATTTACTGCACGCGATTTGTCGTATCGTATCGAAACGCCGCTTTAACATTATACGACTACATATATATTATTTCGACAACGTTCCTAGTTCAAATCCGGATAATCGAATGTATGAAAAATAGCGAGTTTTATGCATAATAATATGTAGTACTTACATAATGTTATGTGTCAATTAAAAATAACAATTAAATACGAAAATCAATGTTTATTAAGAGATAAATCCTACATACATTGTACATGTACTAAAATAATTTTACCTTAATCATGAAATTAAATATTTAGGTACATATTATGTACGTATAATTTCTTAACAATATGTATTTGGTAATTTGCCTTTGGTAATCAGGAAATATATAAGTTTAATTTGGTTTAAAATATTTGTTAATTGTCATTTGACGTAAGCCACTTTTTCTTTTAATTGCTGCTATATCACGAATTCGTTTAAGCTGCAGTAAACTCACAGTATCACTCTCTGTTTGTTTTTCAAACCACTTGAGAGCTGTTTCCAGGGCATGAAGTGCTTCATCATGAGATGGTCCTGCATCATTTTCCACATCTAGATTTTCTTCCAGTTCGGACACGTTCATGCTTGCACAAATTTGACAAAATCGATTTGTAGTTATTTTAATATATTGGTCGGGGTCGGTAGTCCGGATAATCGCGAATCCGTATAACTGAGGGCCGGATAATCGAGTTTCTACTGTATATATTATTTCGACAACGTTCCTAGTTCAAATGCGAGCCTATCCTCACAGTTGTTTGGTTTAGTTGTATGTATCTAATAGAGTTAAAAACAGTAATTCTATTAAATCGACTATTTCGTAATTCAACGTTTTTTTCTTTGAGAAAGACATGATAATGGCTGCAAGTAGCGGTTAGCACTACTAGTATATCATACACGCGCGGCGAAAATGAGTATCGCAACCATGGCACGACACACGACGTATGTGAAAGCGTACATTTGCTTACATTGAATATACGTGTCCTGCAATACTTTTATCGTACGATTTGTTAATACAAATCGGAATGTATTTGTGACATTTTTTACTGCAGCAATTTTAATATCGGATCGTATCAGTGTGAAAGCGTTCGCTTTAAATTTATTTTGGATATACTTTTGTGTGGATCCACTAAAGCTCACAGTTTTTGGTTTCCTACTTACGTTTATATATATTTGAAAGGCTTAATTTACCTGTATTGTGGAGTTACCTTTAATATTTTATAGTACGTAATACCACAAACCGCAAAATTTGGAAACTAATAACTATTAACAAAAAGCGTACCTTGAAAAAACACAATAACTTTAGACGAAACGTGGTCGGTTTTTGACCAAATGAAAACCTTATTACCCTGAAATTTTGTTTTGATTTCCACGTTTAAAAGGCTAACTTTCGACACACACAACGTGTAGATGAAAAAAAAGGAAAAAATATTTCTTATCAAATTATCATTTTTTCGTATAAATGAACTTAGAGGTGTTTTTGTTTTTTAATTTATTTCTAGAAAATGACAGGCAACTTTTTTCACGATAAAATAATTCATAGCATATTGTCACATATTGTTATGACGTGATTTATATCGTAATTAGTAAAACCTCTTAATTATTACAACAAACGCCCACGATAGAGGTCTTAACTGTACGATCAGCAATTAATTTCACTTTAGAAACTTTCAAAACGACCACAACAGTGCTAGCGTTGAACAAAGAGATTCAAATACTTGTCAAAGGTCAATATTTTACAGCCTAGTCACCTGGGTAGACGTATTATAAAAGCTTATTTTTCAATTTGGCCCTGGCCTACACCCATCTTACCTTTTAAAACGTCATGATCTCATGATCAACTCTTTTTAATCTATACATCGAAGACGCGACCAACATCATTAAAGACAGTACAACTGTAGGGATAGATATACAGGGGCAAAAGATTAGTACGCTTAGATTTGCAGATGATATAGCAGTATTAGCATCTAGCAAGGAAAAGTTAGAGAGAGCTTTAAATAAAATGGATGCGGTACTGACAAAACAGTACTGTATGAAAATAAATAAAATTAAAACAGAAATACTAGTATGAAAGAGAAGAAAAAGTAAGGAAAGAGCGAATATAAAGATAGGAGATGAAATATTAGAACAGGTGGCTGATTTTAGGTATGTAGGAAGTCAGATAAGTCAGGACGGAAGGAATAGTAGGGATATAAAGCAGAGGATAGCACAGGGCCGAGTCGCCTTCAATAAAAAGAAGTCACTTCTACGCTCGCGAGCGATTAATTTAGAAATTCGAAAAAGATTGTCAAAAGGGTATGTTTGGACGCTGGAGCTGTACGGGTGCGAAACATGGACAGTGGGTGTGGCGGAAAAGAAAAGGTTAGAAGCGTTGAAAATATGGTGTTACCGACGAATGATGAGGATACCGTGGATAGAGAAGGCTACAAATAAAAAGGTATTAGAAAGAATAGGAGAACAGAGGACTCTATGGAAGTCAATAAGAAATAGGCGAGATAGGATAATAGGGCACCTTCACAGGCATGAAAGCTTGTCAGAGACATATTAGAGGCAGAAACGGAAGTTAGGTGGGGTAGAGGTAGACCTAGATTAGATTACTGTTCGCAAATAGTTAAGTATATGGGTTGTTCTAGTTTTAGGAAAATGCGAAGATTAGCTCAGGATAAGAAACAGTGGAGGTGCGTGTCCAACCAGTCATAAGACTGACGACCTTATATAGATGATAGAATATTGAATAACGATTCTACCTGTTTACATGCATCTACATTTGCATCATACATTCACACACCACACATGATAGTGCAGATTGCTTTGTTGATATTATGGTCAGAAATAAAACATGAAATTTGTACCAATTAACATAATTTCACTTGTAGATTTTTATAGATTTAATGTGTTTTGCTTTTTAAATTTTGCGCCGATATCGTGAGTCGTCAAAGCTTTTTCCAGAAGGGGACAGTTTACCAAGGGGGCGGTACTACCTTGATCTTAGAATTAATGTTACTATGAAAAAATCCAAAACTTACGATTAGTAACTTAAGTTAATCACATATAAACCGTCTAAATGCGAGTCGGACTCGTCGCGCCGAGGTATCCGTACAAACTTATAGATTGTAGGTATGTAAATAGTTCAATCAAGACACAAATATTGTTCTCCTTTTTTCCGAGTATGTTTTAAGTTTTCGCCCAAAATTAGTCTACAAAGCGTATAATTACAATGTGGTTTTCGGATTTTTTCTTTTACTTGTAAAACATTACTTCTTGCCAAATTTCATGATTCTAGATCAACTGGAAGTACCTTATACATTTTGATTCCCACGGGAGTGTCAAAATATGCGGCATAAATAAGTATTTAATATTAATTTTAATTTAATACCTTTACACGTTCTTAGAAAAAAGGGTCTTGACAGACAGACGCCCAACGAAGTGATCCTATAAGGATTCCATTTTTCCTTTTAAGGTACGGAACCTTAAAAATGATCACAACTCAACTGTATCCCTGATACATATGTTCACACAGACATTGAAATCCTTAACTTTTCTGACAATATATCCTGTATGTTTTAATCTATCTTTTAAAAATAAATTCGAATTTACTTATGATTACAGGAAATCAGATCCTCGATGGACTTGGCGATGCCATAATGAACGATGTGAACGTCACATAAAAAAGGAAAATGAGAAATCGGCATCATTAATCACTTGTAATATGCTATGTGGTCAGCCTAAGTTGTGGCCATTTCCCACTGGTTCTTTATATGTTAGTGAAGATTCCGTTACGTTTTTTTACCATCAGATCAGTGTCTTATACTTTGCCAAAAATCCAGTCAGAAGTTTACTCGAGCAATCTTTCGCCGTATTCAATCAGAACGTAATAAATATGGTACCAACTACTTATAAAACATCTTACAAAAGCGACATAAAAAGATTTTTGGTGGTAGTTTCTGTAACACATCCGAATCAAAATAAGCTTACCCTTAGTACAGACGAAAGTTACACTCTAGCTATGAATATGAATGGGGATGATTTGGTTGCCACAATAAAAGCTGGCACCTATTTCGGCGCGAGACATGGTCTTGAAACGTTATCTCAGTTAATTTGGTGGGACGATCACCCACCGGAAGGAATTCTTAGAACGGTAAAGGCAGCTAATATCCAGGACGCTCCCGTCTTTGCATACAGGGGTTTAATGATTGATACAGCCCGAAATTTCATGCCTGTTGATAGTTTGAAGCGAACTTTAATTGGAATGTCCATGAATAAACTTAATATATTTCATTGGCATATGACAGACTCTCAGAGTTTCCCCTTTTCGACGCCGAGCGTTCCGAAAATGGCTCAATATGGAGCTTACGGACCAGACATGGTGAGTAAAAGGTAATTACTACTAAAAAGCGTAGCAGTATGCTGATGTTACAACAGTGTTAACAAGTAAAGGTGTTACATTAGTTTATATTTTTAACAAATTATAAATTATAACAAAAATTTGTACTTTTTTCAAGGTGTATACACCCCAAGATATCCAAGAGTTAGTAGAATTTGCTTACCATCTTGGCATTAGGGTTGTGATTGAGATCGACACTCCAGCCCATGCAGGAAATGGATGGAATTGGGGTCCGGAAGAAGGTCTTGGAGATTTAGCCGTTTGTGTCAACGAACAACCGTGGAACTTGTACTGTGGAGAACCTCCATGTGGACAGTTGAATCCGTTAAATCCTAATACGTATGAAGTGTTGGAGAAATTGTACAAAGATATTATACGATTAACTGGTGAAACGGAGTTGTTTCACATGGGGGGAGATGAAGTTAATTTGGATTGTTGGGGACAATTCCTGAAGGGTATTAATTATACCGACTTTCATGATTTGTGGGGCCTTTTTACCATGAAAGCCTTAGAAAAACTAGCAAGTGCCAACGGAGGCAACCTGCCTTCAAATATGATATTCTGGTCCAGTAATCTCAGTCGAAGACCATATATTACAAGGTAATTGTAGAAAAATCTAGTAATTGTAATTTGTAAGAATTGTTCATTTACTAACGTAAATATACTCCTTATATTCGTTTATATTAAATATTAGTCGATTTTAATCAATTTTTAAAGTTTCGTTTTTGTTTCATTAAAAATGGAAGTACATCAACTTTCGCAAATTTTTTAAGAAAAATTTATGCAACTACAGAACTTTAAACTAAACTTTGAACTGATTTTCATTACGCTTTTATGAATATGATTAGGTATCATATTTCAGGAAAGGCTTTGGTGCCTTTGGTTTCTTTAATATTTTTTTATTAGCCAGGGAGGTACTTGCTTAACTTATTTAATAATTATGCATATTAACAAAAAAAACTAAAGAATTTAAAACTTAAAGATATATTTTCTTGCAAAAAAGAAGCGACCTCAAGATTACTCTCAAAAATTAAGTCGTCTATGTGTTTTTAACTGGACAACTATAACTACAGTAGGTACTGTGGTTGCGGTAAATCCTCTATATATTAAGAATATGTACAACCCCTTATTTATAATGGGGTGTAATTACTTTATAATAGCACAAGTGTTCATGTTATTTTCAGATATATGGATAAAAGTAAAACTATTATACAAATCTGGAGTCCGAGCCTGTGGAGTGATACTTACGATATTTTAGCCGATGGCTATAGGGTTATTATGTCCCATGTAGACGCTTGGTATTTAGACTGTGGATTTGGTAGGTGGCGGGAAACGGGAGAAGCAGCATGTGATCCTTATCGTTCTTGGCAAACCATGTACCTTCATCGACCTTGGCAGGAGTCAATGGATAAAAACTTAGTGGTAGGTGCGGAAGCCTGTTTATGGTCTGAACAACTGGATGCAGCTTCGTTGGACGCCAGATTGTGGCCAAGGACATCGGCATTCGCAGAAAGAGTATGGTCTGATCCTGAAAAGGATGTAAAGATGTATACCATCAAAGAAAGTGTTTATACACGACTCACCATTCAAAGAGATAGGTTGATATCTAGAGGATTAGGGGCCGAAGCGTTGTGGCCGTTATGGTGTTCCCAAAACCCCGGTCTTTGCCTTTGACAGCGCACTTGTTTAAGATAATATTTTTTTCTTAAATGTTAATTATAATCCCTAATAACAGATAACGAATAGAACAGACAAAGTATTAAGTATATATTATTGCTGTGAACAGGAAGTGAGAGAATTGTTTTGTAAAAGTCTCCTGAAAGGTGCCTTCTTGCTTAAATAGTAAGTCTGTTATGCATGGTAATACGAATTCTATTTATCATTTGAGCATGTATTAACATCTTATTTCATGTATGTCTCATTTAATATAAGAACGGAAAACTAACAGTCACTTTTGTGCATTTAGAATTACTTCAAGATAGAAAATTATGGAAAGTTACCATTTATTCCAAAACATTTTTTTAGTTTAGTCTCAAAAATTATTGTTAAACTAAATAAGGTACCTATGTTATAGGCACCAAAATTCTTGATACAGTTAAGACTGTTAGAGATTAAGTATAATAATTAATAAAGGTATCAACAAAAAAAAATGAGCGTTGACAAACAATTGATGAAATAAAATTAAAAAAAATAATAAACTGGCATAAGTAAAATACTAACTAAACGACGAAAACAAATTATTAGTTAAGAAATAAAATTTGGTAATTAACCAAACTAAACACTAATTTAGCACTTTACTATTTTCATTTTAAACATGAATTGTAATTCTTGTACCTATTTTCCTTCGTTACATTTCTTAGCTGTAAAAACTAATTGAGCACATTGATTATCTCTACATTACATAACACAATAACATTTTTAAAAATCCAAATAACTATATTTAGTTCTTTAGAGGCAGATTTGCTGCTCGGTCCTTGATTAAATATTATATCTAATTTAATTTAATTTTGTGTAAACATTTACAACGTCAAGTTAAATTCTATGTAAAACGGTCTGAGTTGCATTGCAATTAATTGAGGTTTTTACCATTAAGTATGAATTGACATATAGCAGTTCATCATTACATTGTGAATATATTTTTTTTTACATCCCCGATTAATTATAATTTTAATTTTTATAACTTTATTTTCAAATATTCGATGTGATCTACGGATATTTGTTTGTGGTATGTAAATATGCCAATCATTATTAATTGATTTCAGAAATATATTATTGTTAGTGAAAAAGTGCACTTAATAAAGTTATAAAGGGCGAAGAGACCCCCCCTACTCCGCTAGTCATTAGATAGTTAACTTGTTTTGTAATGAAATAGATTAATTTATTTGTTTAGTGATCAATTGATACGTGACTGAGCAAGTATAATTTTTGTGAAGATTTCTTAACTGTGTTATTAAAATAGAAGTAATTAAGTCTGTTAGACCAATTAGTATTAAGAATTAAGCAATTACGATACATATTTCGCATATTTCGAAAGGAATACTGTTTCTCAAAGAATCAGATTGTATTATTGTTGTAAAAAAGAGATTGATGTATAAATTTTAATTTATGAGTTTCGAATTGGCTTTTATTTTTATTAAATAGCTGTCGATTTAGTGTATAGTCTAGGTTTATGCTGCTCTCTTTTGATTATTAAAATAACTAAAAGTGTGATTTAATTTCCTTTTTGGTAAGAAATAAATTTTAATAACAATATTAGCCATTTTTTCAACAAGACATATCATCCACTTCAAAATAGTTTAATTTTTAAATAACACAAAATACATTATGTACTTAACAATTCATTTCGGTTAGCAGAAAAAACATAGGAACTGCGTATAAAAGACATTATAAAATTGCAATGTTAATATTGATATTACGATGTTGAATATATGAATAAATTTGTCATTGATAAATGTTCAGCAATTTCCATCTTAGCTGCAGCTTTGCATAAAAACTTAAGTTTACACTAATACTGTTTCCACATTGCTCGTTACATTTTACCAAGAAAATATAAAACATCATTCGCCAATAGAAAGTGATATTAGAATAATGTCTGTATTTTTTAAATCTACATAAAAATATCTGTTTTGTTGAAAAATATTGTTTAGCTACAATTACGATCAACATTCATTAATTACTTTAAGATTCAGAGAAAATTGGAGTTAGTCTAACAACTGAAAAAGAAGTTTTTACAGTGTTTGCAACTAAAACACTGCTTAAAGATTGAACAAGAAAAGTACAATTACAAAATCCTTCTTCTAAACATTTACTATTTCCACACTGTCTCTTTCGGCTGCGCGGCCATTTTTTGTATCTTTCCACTTTATACTTTACTATTTCTGCAAATTGAGGACAAAATCTGCAAAAAAGAGGAAAATTTGACGAAACATTTATGGCACATAAAATTGAAGTTAGTATTCTGAGCAATTCTAATGGTTTTGATCTTTTCGCCATTTCGATGTCACCGAAAAATATAAGGTTTGTTGCCATATATCTGGAAACTGCTTGTGATGGCACTACTCCAATCATAAAGAGAAACACTATGGTAATTAGTGATATAACAAGCTTTTTGTGTTGTTCCTAAAACAAGACAAGCTATAAATATCAATAATTATTAGATTAAATAACAATTATGCTCTTATGCTGACGGGTACCAACTAGTATAATCAAAATCGTCTTTTTTACTTTTTTCGCTTAATAAGTTATTAATTTAAACGATTATATCGTTGTGAGTTGTGATAAACAGTAGAACTGGCAAAAAAACAATTAGATAAAATAATCCTATGATTATGTGGGCTATTTTGTAAAATAACAGCAAACGTTCTTATTAAAATGTTTTTTTTTTGTTAACTTGGTAATCTTTTAACAGGTGATATAAAATATTTAATTTCTTTATTCTATAACTGACCTGTTTATTTAGGCTTTCTTTTGACATTCTTTGGCAACATTTGCTTTTCATTTGCATAATTTTTTTTAAAGAAATGGTAAGAAGTGTAATTCCTACAGTAAGAAGCATTGCCGGTTGAACACTAAATGTTATAAACATAAACCATATATACACAGTGTACGTCCTGCAAAAAATTAGATATATTATAAACTGAAAAGCAAAAAGTTATGCGCCCCCGGGTGGGCTCGAACCACCAACCTTTCGGTTAACAGCCGAACGCGCTAGCCGATTGCGCCACGGAGGCGATGGTTCACTTTTATTCAGTATTAGTATTTAGTTTTTAAACTATTGTTTATAATATACATCAATATATATTATATGTGTATATGTATTCCAACAATAAGAGAAATAAAAATAAAGGAATGTTAACAATGACCATATACAGATTATAAAAAACTGTTACCATGAATTAATAAGTTAGTAAAATATTACAAATTCAAGAAAAAAAATAATGAATTTATTAAGCAGAGCGTATGTACCGAATGAAAGAACCAACATTACTTTAGGTAGGTACTTACATATAATAAAAATATAGTACACATTTCACTTAAATAACAAAACAAAACAACTTACTTGGATTTAAAAAATTTAGACGCTTTAATAATGTTATTCTCATCCAATTCGTAAATAAAATAGAAGGGAATACTGCATATAAAAATTATGGTTGCTAAAGTTAGACATATATTAGTGGCAACTTTACTTTCGCAAAACTTAGGCTTCGTCAAGCGAACCACTCGACGCATTAATAAGTACCGATCTAAAATGGATTTTTTATTAAAAAATAAGATATTGTTTTATTAGTTGATTAAACAATCGAAGGCAAAAACTAACCAATAATAAAGGTGAGTGATATAGCAGTTCCCAAATAGGTAAGCATGTTATTGAGTGGTAGACAAATGAAGCAGTCAATATTAATTACAATTTTGAAGTCCCAAAATATTACGTTTGATAAGGCACTCGTTGCTTGTGTTATACAGCTCCCAAAATTAACTAGAGCTAAATCTATATAAATAATATTAATAGACAATATGTTAGTACCTATATGCATATAATACACATTACCTAATATGTCTGTAAAGAACTTACATTTTAAATAAACAAAAAATGAATCTTTAATTTGTGTCATTTTATGTAACATAAGCACCGATATGAAATTTCCAATGGCACCAAATAAACAAATTATGGGAATAACGGCCCCATACGCTATCCATCCTAAAAAAGGTATTTTTTCATGTTGCAGAAAAATAATTAAAAAAAAGCAAACAAGTGGGTACTTTTAGAAATATTTTGCTGTAAATACGTTTTTCAAGTGATGCGCTTAAATTAAGATTTTTCATTTTCCTTTTGATTTTTATAATTTATAATGTAATAATAATAAAAGGTACTTTACATCAACAGTATATTATGTATAAAACATGTATTTAACTATTACAGACCCTATAATAACTGTCAGCATCCCTTAAATCCGCTATACTGTAATTAAACTTAAATTTAAGGCAATAAAATTTATAAATAAGACATAAAGAACTGAAATAAGTTACCTATTAAAGTAGGTTCAATTACCCATAAATTGAAATCACTTTTATTTTTAATTTTGTGAAATAATTCTTCGTCCAACATCATTGGTATGTTTTGAACTCACTACCGCATATACAAAAGCACACACAAGTACTTTATAAAAGTGCTTACCAATGTTAACAAATTCCAATATGTTGCAGACATGATTTTGATTTTACGAATGATAGAGAAGATAAGAGTTAAACAGAAATAAATTAATGTGATTGAAATAATACTGAAATACATATAGCAAAATAGAAATATAAATGGGATCGCCGAATGTTGCTACGTATATGTGTAGTGTTTGATATAGAAAAAATATTTCTTATTGGTATTTTATGCTCGATGTTGATTAGGTAGTCCCAACTAATATTATAAATGCCAATGTGAGTTTGTTTGTCGACTTTTCACACCTGAACTACTCAATTATCGTTATGAAATCTTGTACACATATTGTTAAGGATACAGAAAAGGACTTAGAGTACCGTTTATCCAGAAAAAAATACTGCTCCCGAAGGACAGAAAAATTATTTTTTTGTGGTTGATTTCAGGCTTTAACTATTCAATAAATTTTGTAGACACATAGTCAGGATTACAGAAAAGGACATAGGGTAACTTTTATCCAGAAGAAAAAATGCTGTTCCCGAAGGATAAAAAAATTATTAGTTTTATGCGGGTAAAATCTAGTAAAGTATAATAATGTGCAATGCATATATTAGCTGTTGAAATTTTTGTTTTTCGGAAAGATAAAGCAAAGCCTCTTGTCGCGTCTATATGTACATCCCTTTATTTAGACTACTGGTCGATTTTGTCCAGTCAGACGCATTTTTGAATATCAGCAACCACTATTTGAAGCTTTTTTGAGCAGGTCTTTCGCTGGCAAGACCCCTTTACCCTTTTCGATTCGTATAGCAATGCAGCATATACATATACACATACAACGTCGATCACACTTGACTAAAAATGTCTACTTTTGGTATTTAGATACACGTCTGACGCTTAATTTATTGACTGGATCAATTTTACCAAATGAGATGGATCATTAGATTTTTTTACAACATACATGATATAAGTAGGTGACATGAAAAGGCATCGCTTATAGAATGTTTATGAAACTAATCTAGGAGTTTTTAAATATTTATTTCGTCAAATTTTTTAGTCTTTAATTTAAACGACTGAAACTGAATTTGCTTATAACGATTTTAATTTCCTAAATAAAGGTCTACCCCATTTTTATGCACTAATCCTTATTTAACTGAAATACTATACTATATATAGATAGCACTGCTAAGGACACTACTTCTTGTATTATTTTGAAAAATATTTTATAAATTATTTTATTAATGATCCACTTTTCTTTACAAATATAAACATATGTATATACAAAAAAAAAATGTTTATTAAAAATTTTTGAATCAGTACAACAAAATGGAATTCAATTTTTATAAATACTATAAAGAAGCACAAAACAACAGAAACATAATTTATTTATCTGAACATTTACGTGAAAAATCCACGATAATTTGTGCAACTACTACCATTTATGTATGGTAGTTTACACTGTAGAAGTGGTGAAATGGAAAGACTTTATGAGAACCTTTGTTCACAACATATTACATACAATTTACTTATTTAACCTTCTTTGCTTCAGTCTGTTTCTTTTCCTCCTGTTTTTCTTCCTTGTGATTATCAGCGTCTTCATACCTACAACATTAACAAAAGTAATGACCATTTACACATAATGTACATTATTACAAAACTTACTTTAATAGGGCCTTTATATCACCTTTAATAAGTGCTACAATTAATGGAGTTCCTAAACAGGCTGGAACTAAGTACAAGAGTGCAGGTTGAGCATGTTTAAACATGTGCATAACAAAAATAGTAGCCATAAGACCCAAAAAGTATGCTACAAATGTTGCATGAAAATACAAGTTGGATTTACGTTTTAGGCTTTGATCGAAACGTAACAGAAGAGCAATAAAAATTCCAGGAACAACTATGTCTCCGAGTCCTAACATTGCAAAATTATTGGCAGCGAGACCATGTGTCAGGAGGTCTTGCGGAAAGACAACTTAAAAAACAAAGAAAAACCAAATAAGGAACTCGAAAATATTCTATTCCACGGGCATATGGAGCAACTTATATTATGCTCTTTCAAAGTAAGATAAATTTGCAGTAAAATTTAAATAAAAACGTAGCAAATTCAGATAGAACTCATTTGTGAAGTTATTAGATATAGTAAAAAACTTACGTTTAATAGGGGCTTCAAAGCTTTTGGCAACAGTTACCATGACATCTGTCCCAAAAACCCAAAATATATCGTAAATAAAAAGACCAAGTAGTAAAATACAACCGGTTATCACATTATTTAAATGTAACAGTTCCACCGCATTAATAGCAAATGCTAAACCAAACAGGTTGTTAGCAACCCAATGCTTTTGAAACAGATACCAAGCACCTACAAATGAACAGCAGACAAGAGCGACAATGTCATAAGAGGTGAATTTGTAGTCTATTATATCTTCATTTGGTTCACCCCGACCTTGTCGAAAGATTAATTGGTAGTGGACATTGGGTAATGAAGCCGGGACTAATTTACTAACAATTGGACTAAAAGTATTCAATAGAATTAATTACAACAAAGAATATAAGGTAAATGTTTCACTTAGTATGGTCTCCTCCAATTTCGTTGATATTTTAGTATGTTGTACAGATTAGGGTAATAATTAATAATATGTATGTATATATCCTTAGACACTGTACATCATACTAAAATTTCAACGAAATCAGAAATGAGCATATTAATTAAGACATTTACCAAAAATAATGTACACTACTATGCAGTAGACTTGAATTTAATTAACACAATAATACGTTTAAATGATATTTTGATATCGCCGATATTTTTATAATTTATAGTAATTTTAGTGATAAATTTTTCAATATATTGAATTAAAATACCCTTTAAGTTTTAAAAATAGCATATTGTCACATATTGTTATGACGTGATTTATATCGTAATTAGTAAAACCTCTTAATTATTACAACAAACGCCCACGATAGAGGTCTTAACTGTACGATCAGCAATTAATTTCACTTTAGAAACTTTCAAAACGACCACAACAGTGCTAGCGTTGAACAAAGAGATTCAAATACTTGTCAAAGGTCAATATTTTACAGCCTAGTCACCTGGGTAGACGTATTATAAAAGCTTATTTTTCAATTTGGCCCTGGCCTACACCCATCTTACCTTTTAAAACGTCATGATCTCATGATCAACTCTTTTTAATCTATACATCGAAGACGCGACCAACATCATTAAAGACAGTACAACTGTAGGGATAGATATACAGGGGCAAAAGATTAGTACGCTTAGATTTGCAGATGATATAGCAGTATTAGCATCTAGCAAGGAAAAGTTAGAGAGAGCTTTAAATAAAATGGATGCGGTACTGACAAAACAGTACTGTATGAAAATAAATAAAATTAAAACAGAAATACTAGTATGAAAGAGAAGAAAAAGTAAGGAAAGAGCGAATATAAAGATAGGAGATGAAATATTAGAACAGGTGGCTGATTTTAGGTATGTAGGAAGTCAGATAAGTCAGGACGGAAGGAATAGTAGGGATATAAAGCAGAGGATAGCACAGGGCCGAGTCGCCTTCAATAAAAAGAANATCAACAGCCGACACAAGAAGTTTAACTGACAAGAGGCTTGCAAAACATACGTGTCGAAAAACTACAGTTTGTCAAATTATGATCATATTCATAGATAATATTATTCATAGATAAATATTATTGCTGTCAACCACTGCACATGAAAAACAAACGTTAATTATTATTAATTTATGATCACAGATATCAGATATATACTATTATCAATGACTATTATATATCTATGATCTATGTTTTATGATTATTATTTAAACTACTTATTCTACTTATAACTAGTGTGTAGCACGTGCCGGAATATGCTATTCACAAACAAATATTATTTATAATTAAAACATTAAATATTACGCAGTTACAAATATTGTGATTATGAAACAATGTAAGAAATAAAGAAAACAGCGTTTTTAAAAATGAAAACCAACTGGCTAAGACCACTGCACAGGAACCACAAATGTTGATTATTATTAATCTATGATCATAGACAAGAGATATATAATTAGTGTTTGATGTGGTCATAGATAAAAGAAATATATGCTGGATCCATTGAACTAGACTACAGATGTTCCCCTCCACTTCAATGGCTGGATCTGATTCATGTGAACCTGAACTAGTACTCAATATAAATAATCCGCTGATTGAACTTGACCGTTAACTATGCTTCATTTGCATGTTCTAAATATGTACGTAGCATAGTTATGCGTCAATTAGTTTTGTTAAAAAAAAAAGGAAAATTGGTTCGGATACTGGGAGAAATTTAATGTCCATTTATTCGAAAACTATTGAAACTATTATAATTTAATTAATGCCAATCATTTACGCGTCATTCATGCTTGAAGACTGCGCTATTCTGGTAAGCGAAATTTATTTTTATTTTTTATATTATTTATTGCAAATAATAGTTAAATTATATTTCATTGGTATTATTGATACGCATGCGCGGAACAAAACTAAACAGCATGTCATAAATTAGAAATTAAATAAATAGGTCTACTTCACTTTATAATCTATTATTTTATTTTTTAACAAAACCCATTTTGCTTATGCAACTCTTCTTACTAACTGCAATTTTTCTTCCTGACGGTACTACTAGCGCCATCTTTTCAAAAGGAGAACAATAATATACTATATCCGACTTAAAGTGAAGCATCTATTTATGTATGTATTTTTATATCTCTAATCTGACACGTTGATGTTTAAGGTTATTTCGACTTTTCGTTTCAATAGATGTGGAATTAGCTAAGAAAAAATAACTGGTTAATAAAATTCTCTATTATCTAATAAATATTTCTATTCTCAGTATATGTATTTTTGGTAATTTTTTACATTAGTTGACATTGGAATTGAGACATGAAGTTTAGTGAGGTAGGCAGTACTCACCAAGTAAAGTAGTGTGGTAGTATTTATTAGAATTTTGTTTATTATTTGTTTAAAAATCAATGTGACTGAGATGCAGGCTGTTAAAATTTTCTTAATTGGAGGAAATTCCGGTAGGTACGGCCCTGGCTTCAGCCTTCCGTCAGCTGTTCCCGCCAAGCATCCTTTGTCCTAAAAGATATCCTCCTAACATTATTCCAATCTTCGGCGGGCAGGGGCATTAAAGAAACTCCAGTCTATCATAAATTTACCTAACTAAACAATGACGTCATCAATGCATGTTTGGCGAGAACAGCTGACGAAGGGCTGCAGCCAGGGCCGTACTAACCGGAATTTCCTCCAATTAAGAAAACTTTACGAGGCTGTATCTCAAGCTATATTGGTTTCCGCATGGAATTAATACTACCACACGATTCTACTTGGTGAGTACTACCTACCTCACTAAACTGCTGTCTCAATTCCAGTGTCAACTAATGTAAAAAATTACCGTATTTTTTTATAGATGTGAAGTTTTTATTAAATTTTCCTTCCTTGAAAACAAAGTATATATCTTGTCTATGGTATATGGTATGAAAAACAGTAGGTTAACGAAAAACAAATGATGTTAATTTTGTTATATTTAATTTTTGAACATACCCTGCCCAATAGTTTCTGTGTATCTATTATTTTTCTTTTCAGTTGTCTATGATTTCAACATACATGAATTGTAGATTCACATCAATGGTATTCGCCTATGCCTATGGTATATCGCTGTTTTGGGATTTCTCCGTACATTCTTTATACACCCCTCATCAATAATCATATGTCATAGACTGAATAATGATGAAAAATAGAGCTGGTAACCAGTTCCAGTGGATCTAAACGAAGGATCGTAGACAAAGGTAGGATTGTTTGAATTTTTATGAATGAAAGTTTTATAATTGGACTGATTTTCACCTGTTTCTGATATTTGCTTTGTTTTTTCTTTTATTGTGTCTTGTTAATTTAGTAATATATTTAATCCGTTTTTGTTATGCTTTTCAGCACACTGAGTTGTGAATGAGATGAGAACATATTAAAAATTTATTTCGCTTTCACTGGTATGATGGTCCTCTTCTTGTGGGACATCATTACTTTGGAACATTATGTAGGTTATTAAAGTGAAAAAACAAAATAAGAAAAAAATCAGGCAATATCAGAAAAAATTCGTTCATAATTTTTTACTATAAGCATATACGTTCATGCAAGAAAATCAAAAGAGGTTGTACAAAATGAAATAAATAAAACTCTAAATACCTAAAATCCCACATAAAAAGGTATTATTTACTTATTTGGTTGACAGTCTTTTAACCCACAAAGTAGCATATATATGTATTATGATTACATATATGTGGAATTTCTGGCTTTAATTGTTTTATGTATATATGTTCATGCTTATTAACTAAGAATTTATATTTACAATTCGAATATGTGCTAATTGGTAGTCAATTTAGTATGCATTAATATTTTATTTATTCATAATTAATTATACAACTTTTTTATGCATTTTTATTTTAAAATTAATCAGTTTGACTACTAAATGGATTAAAAACGACATATTACAGCCTGTCAACTAATTTATGCCCAGATCACCATAAAGGAAACTATTTGTGCGTTACTTTTTAAAGTTCTGTTATCAGATTATCTGCTATTGAGCTTAAGCTAGTTATATATTTAAATATTGATTGTTTAACAGGAAAATTACTTACACTTTTAACTGAATGTGTAATTGATCTGTGATTGTAGTAGTTTGTATTTCATCTCAGTATCCAACAGTGGGTTTTTATTCACTGGATGTAGAAACAACAAAGATATTAACTAAAGTTTTAATTTATAAGATAAAATAAAAATGCTTGGCAAAGTGGTAATTATTTGCACTAATAATAACTAATTTTATTTTGAAATATTTCCTCTGCCAAGGATTTATTTATTAAAATAGAAAAACAATTTCTAATACATATTTGAAGTAATTCAATGACACATTATTTTCATGTGCACATTGGAATAAATTAATTAGGGGTCAATATCAAAACTATATTTATGTGCTATTAAATTTTAAGTTTGGCATCTTTCTTGCTCTACTAAAAACCTGTAAGTGTTTTAATGTTACAAGTAACACTTTGTCTGGTAATCCAAAGTAAGCATAAAATTATCATTGTAATGATTTTGGTGTTTGTTATTCTTTAAAAAACGTTCCGGAAAACAGAATAGAAGCTTTTATGTCAATTTTGAAAGTATATAATTATTTTAGCGGATTTAATATATATTAATAGCTTTGCAATAAAACGCAGAGTATAAATAATTGGTAATTACAAATGTAACGCACTTTTTTGTTGAAAAGCAAATATTTTTTCAAAAAGTTCCAAGTTCACTGTTATAAATTAAAAAAAATATAAATAGTATTTTTTCATTTTCATTGGCGCGAAAACTGACTGTCAATTTTTGAGCAATTATCAGAATGCAATCGAATTTACACTGGCGTGTGTATGGTTGCATAAGGGATTGAGAATACTTTATATAATTAATTTTGGTCATTTTAAAATCTGCTGTAAATCATAACAACATTTTTAGATTATTTAGAATTATGCGGATA